AAGGAATCACGTTAGGGCTTTGCTACAACACAGCTGAAAACAGGTATTCTTTTCCAAATATCTGGAGACTAATTGGGTATCAAACTGCACCATGTTTGTAACACATGCTGTGTGACATTCCCTGCTGTAATGGTCAGACAGGTCCACCTGGAAGTGACAAAAATACATGAAATTAAAATTAAAAAATGCAGAGTTTATCTAGCCCAACATTTGGAGGTGCTTCAAATGTTGGGATAGATAATAGGTTTCTTTCAACAGAAACTAGTAGATCTGTGGTTTGGGATGTGTTATTTTTTTCTGAAAAAGTGGTATTTTTACTGATCCTCTAAGTATGTTAGTAATTGTGGGTAAGAGTTGTCTTGGCCTCAAATGCTGGTTTGCTTTGGCTTTTTATTATGCTTGACAGACTGGTGCCTGTTCCCCCTCCTTTCCACCACAGTGTCTCTTTAATTCCACTTTACAGAGGAGTTGCTTCAGTGTCTTTGTCACATTTGAACTTTTGTTTAAGAATAAATTTTCCTGAGTGCTAAGCCTTACAGCAACTTAGGTACTTCCAAATCAAAGTCAGAGTAGATGTATGCTCCTCCAGCCAAGCTTTTCAGGGAGATTAGTTCTTCTGACTTCAATTGATTTAATAACTACTCTGCACTTGAAGACTTCTGAGGACTGTGCAGCCAAGGCACATCTAAAAATAACATTTAGGTTCAAGAGCCACTAAGGCAGTTTTGGAAATGCAAAACATAACTACAGCCCCCTTCTCTTACATCTCACGGGTTGGAAGGAACAAAGGACTGTTTCCTAGGGCTTTGAGGATGGTGTGAAACCTGGGTATGCCCAAAACATTGCCAGTGTGATTCTTTTTCATCACTGTGGGTGATGAGGAAATTTGAAAGTGCTTCCTTCTGGATACATGTTAAATGTTGGTTCAAATGGTTTGAACTGAGGTAATAAGGATATGACTGGTCTTTTGAAAGCTGTGATCCAGACTGCTACTTTTCAGTTGAAGGCTTAGTTTTACCCCACTCCTATCAAAATCCAGAGCGTGCTAGAAGCATGACCTTTCCTAGTCCTTTGCAAAATATGCAAAAATAGTTTGGAATGAGAGATAGGAAGTTGAAAGTGTGATTCAAAAGCTGTTCCTGCAGCAAGTTTGTATCAATTCTCTCTTGATCATGTAATGAAAACAAGTCTGTTCATTAGGCGAAAAGCTGAGTACATAACATACCAAAATGTGGTTGTAACCAGCAGGACTGCTGGAAAGTCCATGGGCTGTGTTGGACAGAGCAGTGCCTCAGGCCTAGCTGGGACTGAAGGCTTCTCTAGGAGGATGTTGTGTGAGAGATGAATCAAGTGCTGCTGCTACCTCTCTACAAAATTTGCAGTCCTCCTCACAAAGAAGCTTGTGTTTGATGTTTTGTGAAGCAGCATACCTTGCCATAAGAGAATTTGGTTGTGATTCTCACCCAGTGTTCCTTTGTTAGAAGTGATATCAGCTATCTTAAAATAAATTGCTGCAGGTAAAGCTTACAAGTATTACTGGATTTTCAAACAGCATATGAATTAGTCCTTGTTTCTACAAATAGCATATGTTAATGAACACAAATTCATCTTTCTGTAAAAAAAAATATGACAATCTGTGTAGTCCCATGAAACTCAGCCTTCAGGTTCAAAATGAAATTACTGAAAGCAGTCAAGAAACTGTAAGATTTAAGGTGGTATGTGACATGGTTTTGAATAAAGAGACTTAACTCAGTCATTTCCTAACAGCCTTGATCTGAAACCTTGATCAGAACTTGATCTGAAACCAATAATGGTTTGGAGAGTACATTCTATGTATGACTTCATAGAAAGATACTGATCCAAAATGCAGGCATGTATGCTTCCAAGCAGAGTTTGGAGACTGGTACAGCACAGGTGAGGGTGCAATTGTTTAGGGGGTTAAGGTAAAGCTGAGGAATCATCAAAAAGAAGAGCCCCCTGAATGGTGTCTGAGAATAGGAGCAGAATGAGAAGCAGCAAAAGGCTTGAGGTACAAACATACCTTAAGATGCTGGCCCAGGGTAAAAGGAGGAAATTTCCTTGGAGCTGTGGAAATTTCCTTGGCATCCAAGGCCGTCAGTACTGTTTGTTGCTTAGGTTTACAAGGAGAAACTGTGGAAGCCAGAAAAGGCTTCTGTGACCTGACCTTGCAAGAGAGCAGCTTATGCTGCTGTTTGATTATGGATGTCACCTGCAAGGAAAACACATGCTGGGCAGAATTTGAAATTGCACCCTTGCTGGATTAGCATTACTCCATGTGTCCTTCCCTACAACACTGCCTTCTGCACACCAAATTCTTCAGGTTTTTCAACAACTTTATTGTGTATCCAGTCCTAAAATTGATGAGATTAGTAAAAACAATTTAAAGGTCTCCTGCTTGCTTCAGGCTGTCCTTGGACTGCTTCTCAAGTGTGGATGCACCTGTGCAAATCTGCCTTGAGTGCACTGGAGTAATCTGGGATTGCCAAGGAGCAGAACACGATGCCTTTGCTTCACTCACATGCATTTCCTCACACCCACCAGCACTGGTATGGTTCCAGTATGGCCAAAATGGGCAAGGTCCCCTTACCCCTGCTTGGAGCTGCCTCCTACTTGTGCAGCAGGAAATGCTTTGGGATTTGTGCAGCACCTCCTATAAGAACTATAACAAGATTAATTTTTTTTAATTTCTTTTTTCTTTTGTCCATATTTGCGTCACCTTTTCTTCCCCCTTCCTTCTCACCTTCATTGGACGAGCAGGAGATGATGTGCTGAATGCCACCCCTGAGACTGTACAGGACAGACTCCCTACATTCCAGGAGGATTACCAAAAGCTTGATTATTGGGTTAAAAACATTGTGAACCCAGGTTCTGGGCACTAGGGAAGAATATTGTCAGAAATCTAAGACATCTAGAAAAGATTTCCAGTGCATAACTATGTATTCTGACAAGATCTCTAACATGCTGGTTGGGGAGAGCAAGCAAGTCAGCTACTGTTGGCACATTTTCTGTGTGCCAGAGCTTTACAGTATTTAAAAATGCAAAACATGTAACTAGCAAATTTCCAAAGTGCCCCTAAAACAGAACAATTCTAGGCTCAGTCCTTTTTTAATTTTCTGGCTCTGTCTGTATAAAGCAGCCGCCACAATATTGCTGCCAGAAGAGGTATGTTTTTATTACATCTATTGACATACTTTCACATGCAATTTCAGCAGAGACAAAGCACAGCTGGGCTTTAGCTTGCTATTGAAGGTGAAACCCAATCTGCAGTAGGCTAATTTCACTGAAATAAAAACAAGACTTTTATGGTTAAAAATCCCCTTGGAGATACCTCAGCAAATTTGTTTTGTGAAAGAAATAATTAAACAAAAGTATAATTTCACTTCAGGGTGTTGTGAAGACAAGGGATTAATATTTGTAAATGTCTCCATGAAAATCAGTCAGGTTACAGGACAATATTTCACCACAAAGCAAGGCCAGAATAATTAGAGGTTCATGAAACAAACACAGCTATTCATAGCAGGGGGATACAACTTTTTCTGAAGCTGTTCCAGGATGGAGTGTGGCACTGTCCAGCTCTTGGAGCACAGAGGAAGGGTCCCAGCATGTGCCATCCCCAAAAGTGCAGGACTGAGTCTGGGGCTCTGAGTTCTGCTGAGGGCAGGGCTTTAAGCTAAGGCTCAGCTGGATGTGAGCACAATCAAACTGATACAATTCCCCTGACTGGAATTAGCTTGGAACCTGGACAAAACCAGCCTGCAAAGCAGCTTTTAAATGTACCTTCAGAGAGAGCTCTTCCTGGAGTATCATGTTGTGCAGAGGTTCTCTCCTCCCTTCTTCCAGCCCAAAGGGGCATCTCCTGTCTGCCAGTAGTTTCCTTTAGACCAGTTTTCCCCAAGAGGGGCAGATTTTCTTTCAGAAGCAGATCTTGGTAGTCCAAGGACAGGATGCAGAAAACCATTCATGGACATGACCAAAATTTTAATGTCAATAATGGCAACAAGAAAAGCTGTTAAAAAACCTTCAAACATCTTCCCCTCTGTCCCCTTTCCCCAGACAACACACACTAAAACATATCAGGGCCTAGCACTGAGGATTTCTACCTGTGAGATCTAAATTTCATAAACTCTAGAGAAAGGAGGAGAATGGACAAAGGAAACAGAAGTGTCAGGAAGGGTATCAAGGAAAGCAAAATCATTTACTTGATTTCAGACTGTTCAAGTTATTTACATCTCTACTAGAAAGCAATAGACCTTTTGGCTTGTGACCTCCTGCTTGCTGCTGTTTGCTGTGATAAATTTGAGTGAAAGGATGGTGGCTTTTGTTGAAAAGCATTTGGAATAATAATGAAACATCATTTCACCAGCAAAGATTTTATATATTGGAAGAGCCTTTATAGTTGAAAAATAACCTGGGCATCAGACAAATCAGGCAGGGAGGTCTGTCTGTTCATCACTGACACACATTAGCTGTTAGTGGGCTGTAGAGGGGTACATCAGGCTTTACACCTAGCTGCAGGATATCCAAGACAACCTTAATCAGAGATGACCCCAGAATGCTTTTGCAGAACAGTAACTGGACTTGTTCAGATTTGTAATAATCTTCATTGTGGCTGTACATCCCTTTGTGCCTAGGAAGCACCATAGCCAGCTTAAAGCATCAGGGTTCATTGGGACCATCTTCTGGATGCACAAACTCACTCCAAAGGAGAGGATCAAAACAGACTTTTGTAATTCAACAGGAATAAATCTGGTCTAATTCCCTGAAAAATGGGAAAAACAAGGACTGCCAGGGGGTCAGGCAACCCTGGAGCTTAGTTAATTTTACTTTTCAAATTTTGTGGGTTGACTCTACTTACTTATGAAGCTGAATTGCTAATAAAATTAATTAGAAGCATCATAAGTTGGCCATCCCAAGAGTATTTCTACTTGAAGCAGTCATTAATTATTCTGACTAGGATTGTCTGTCTTTTCTATTTATAGGCTGGCCATGGGCGACACTGACTGTTCATGGGTTCCTGTACTGCTATTCTCATGTTGGAATTGAATGGGAGCAGAAGCGTGCTGCACATTAGGAATGATGCACACAATTATTCTTAAGGCAGGTTGATGGTTTTTCTACACTGGATATTCTATCTGCACAAGGGTGAGCCAGACCCAATCTTCAGTCTGTGTGTTTAATCCAAAAGCTCATTTAATTGGTTCTGGATTGCAAATGCAGGCATTGAACTGCAGAAGCACTGATGGTCTGCAGCAGGGGGTGGGGAGAAATGATGAAGCATTTTGAATTATGTTGTTTTTGTAAAACAGCATCTTTGTGACTCTGTGTACTTCAGAAGTGTGCATCTCAGAACAGGTATTTTACATATGTCGAGGGTTGTTTTCGTGTTTTGCTGCCCATTTTGAGATATTGAAAAAAAAAATCTACCTTGGGGAATTCAAAAAGCCCAGTCTCTCACAGATGGTGTCCAGGGGCATGTAGGGCTGTGCCCTGCACTTACACTACTCCATGAAGGGCATGATGCTCATCAGTTCTTCTTGACTGCTTTCCCATATAAGCTAGAACACTTTGTGTTTTCACTGACTGGAGTAGTTCTGCCTTAAGCTACTTTTCCACTTACTGTAGCAAAGCCTGCGTTTTCTTTTTAATGTCTTCTTTTAAAATTTTGCCTTTAAAATAACACCTTTTTTGTAACCTTAGAAATGGTTTTCTTTAAAAAGACAGAGTAAGGAGGAAGATCTTTTCCTAAGGAACAGCTTTCCTTTTAAATCAAATCTGCTCTTAAAGCTCCTTGGACTTTAAGTGCTCTCTGCCTTGTCTTAGAGCTAAAGCATTAAACAGTACCTTTATTTTGGGGCCTTCAAACTGTTCAGTCTGCCTCTAGTATTATTCTGTGACAAAGGGAGATATCTCCAGTCTGGTTTAATGGTAAATCTGTTCAGTCTGCTTCATTTTCTGGTGTCCAAGCAATCAGCTCCTGCAATTATTGCAGACACCCTGGGAGGAACTTTTTAAGACCTTTAGAAAAAACCAGAATTGTCCAATACAGTGGCACTGATGAGCTGGGAGCTCCATGTCCTTTGGCCACATAGACCTGCTACAGCAGCATCTTTGCCCAAAGACTGTGTTGTCCAGAGCTGGGAAGGTCATGCCTGCAGCTGTCCAGGTTGCAGGAGTGCTTTGACACACACTGTTTTTTAAGGGGAGACCCTTCCCCTGTCTGATTCTATGGGTGTCTTCTACACTGTTCTGTTTTAAACTGATACTGAAGAGCAGCCAGAAGACCTTTAGTCTTTCTAAAGTTAGACATTCCCCCTAGGCATGGTCAAAAGGCCACAAGTTCTGGAGTAAACTTCTTCCAAAAGCAGCTTCCTCCACCCAAAGCATGTCAAAACTTGTTCCATGCCCCTGGCAGACATTTCAGCCTGTTGGGAATTAGTGTCCTACTGTCCATCACTCCTGCAGCTTCAGCCAAGTCTGGTATAATTTATCCCTTCAACAAGAAATTCAGTACCTGAGACAGGCTTCTGCTTATTGTCTGCATTTCTGATGTCTCTGCTGCTCACAACTATGGCAGCCTTCTTATTACCCTCCATTTATTCCTGAAGAAACAAGGGCAGAGGCTTCAGCTCTCCATCCATCCAGAGAAAAGCCCATCTCTTGCTGTTTCAAAGCAGAAGCTCCAGCCTTTTGTGTTACAAGTCCCCCAGCTCCCCCGCCATGGGAATGCCATGATTTCCCCTGGAAGCCATTTCTGGGAGACACCATGGCCTGTTGAAAATAACTTACCTTGAATGCTGCCTGGCCAAAGACATGGCTCTCCTGACTGACTGGATGATGATTGCAGGGATTCTCTCAGTCATAGAGTATATGGTTCTAAGCCTCTGAATTTTCTAGAAGGATCCGAAGATTGGCCTCCATTTTGGGGCAGCACTGACCTAAGGGCAAGAACTTTCTCAGACTTTGCTCAAATTTTATAATTCAGTAGAATTAGCATTAGAGCAAAAAGTCATGAATCTGTTCTTCAGTCTCATTGATTACCATTATTACATGAACCGAGGTGCTACTGAGTGACTGGATTCCAATTTGTATGCATGAAAAACTTCCAGCTCCAATATGGAAATGACCCTGAAGGTCATCTAGAGCATGCTTATTTCTGAACTAAAATTGTTTTCTATTTTTTTTTTCAGTGCTTTATATATCTTTCATAATTTTGTATCTTTTTCTGTTTCTATAAATAAAGCTGAAATGCACTGTTGGCTTGAGAGCTGTGTCTTGGAAAACTATAGCCTTGTGTAAGAAAAATAACAGTTTCTCCACTGTTGTGGAGAAACACTACTATGTACTGGAAACCTGCAGGGTGGGTGCAATGCAGACTGGTTGTGCACTGCATGGAACATGCCTTCCCTAACGGTGTGAGTTTAAAAAGCAAATCAGCCTTTTGTAGCTGGGTCAAGGAAAGACTTCGGCATGTGAAGTTTCTGAGAAGAGCAGCATGCACATAAAATGGTGCTTCCCACTCACAAAATTCCTTCTCAGTCCTGCTTATACAGCAGCTGTCAGCATGGGGCACATGCAGTCAGAAAACACACGGCTCTACACCTGAAGAACTCCAAACTTGCTATTCAGTTATTCCTTCAGCTTGGAGACACAATCCTCAGCATGGCCTGGGAAGTGACTCTCCATGTGGCACCTTGTGTGGTAGCCCAAAGTGCCATCCTCCAAGCAAGGTCTCTGTGGCAATCCTAGAGGGCAGGGGGAGTTTGCAGAGACTTGGAAGAGACTGCAGTAGCCATGCCACTTCCCAAAGTTAAAAAATAGGTGAGGGTGTGTGAGAAAGAGACTTCCAAACACTGAGAAAAAGCTAGCTAAGGGGTGTAGGAAACAGGTGACAAGGACAGACATGGCCAAAGTAAGACACTGGCCATTTTGCACCAAAGGGGAGCGCTTGTAGCCAGGGTGAGGGGAACAGCAGACACAGACTGCTACTGCTGTGAGACCCCAAAAGTCACAAAAGTGCAATGAACAAAAAATCCCCCAAAGGTGGTGGCTCTGAAAACGAGCTGGACAGGTACACTACTGACAACAAGAGTTCACAAGTGATTTTGAAAAGCTAAGTGACTAGCAAGCATACTGTATAGTGATATATGGCTGCAATGGTTACCACAAAGCTGTAGTGAAGTCTCTTGCACACACACCCCCACACACAAACCCCCACCCCCTTGCTCCAGCCCCTCCTAAATTAACAGAGCCATTGTCATTACTGGGTAAGATTATACTAAGTGGCTCTTTCTTTAATTCTGCATTGATTAAAAGGTGAGTAAGGCTTTGCTCACCTATCTCTTTCACATCTGAGAGGTAAAAGCAGCTTAGTTGGAATATCCAGCTTACCACAGGTCAGAAGAAAAACAGCTTAACTGAAAACCTGCAGCAATTTAGTTATTAGTCACAGCAATAACACAGGGCCTGTCCTTTCTCTTGCACACCCACCTAATTGCCTTTGTCACCACAAAACCTTGAGCTGGTCACAGTTTGCACTCGCTGAGGGAGGAGGCTCTGCTTCCTCTGACTTGGCAGCAGGATTGTCCTCAAGGAGCTGTGAAGAGCGAGGAGATTGCTATGCATGGTCTGTTACAACTTCTCCTCATGGTTCTTTATAGTTTCCCCCCCTTCCACAAGTAGTGCAGCTCATTATTGCTTTCCAAAATAACTCCCAGCACACAGCCAATTGTTAGTCAAGGCATATATTTTAATCCAGCAGGGATAGCTGAAATACTGCTCGATGCAAAGCCTGTCTGGAGAACACTGTGCCTGTTACACCTTGAGGAGGAGGGGAAATCTGCATTACAATAGATCTTTCTTGTATTATGGGACCTCTGAGAGCAACCCTCTCTGGTGGGTCCCCATGGATGCCCAGGGCTCTTCTGTGAACAAGCACTGAATTCAACAATCCAACCAGGAGCTGCTTGTGGAGCAGCTCCTCCATTAGTTGTGTGTAAAAGGAAGAAAAAATGAAGACAACTTTGGTGGTTTTTAATTTTCTGCTTCATGGAAACCCAATCACATCCAACACAGGTCCTGCCAGAGCATCTGAGAATGAGTCCCAGCTGCCTGTGGCACCAGGCACCTACACCCAACCTACAGAGGACAATGTGGCTCAGACATCCCCAGCCAAGGGGACACTGGCAGCTCCAAGCTTGAGAGGCTTTCAGATGCCACCAATGCGCAGGACAGGAAAAGGAAAATTCTCATGGATATGACACGCTTTGGATACTGCACAAGAGAAGAAGCTGAAGGGTGTCAAGGCTCAACTTTGAGGCAGCCTCAGCACCGCTCCCTTTAGTTCCCACAAGCTTTAGGAACATAAGTGAACTGCTCCAAGAGGAAAAAGGTGTGTGCACTCTGTACCCAGTAGAAATAATGCCAGGATTAAAACTATGTTAAAAAATCTCATTCCTTATGCTGGGAATCACAACGATCTGGGTGAGAACAAGTTAAGCTAACATTGGGATCTAACAGGCAAATTTTGACCACAAATTAGCCTGCACCACCTTTCTTAATATCCAGGGGCAGCTATATGTGTAAATAGCCTTAGGTAGCTGCATATCAGCACCTTTGAGGAACAGAACAAATTAAATGGGCTACCTGTGGCCTGTGCCTTCCCCAGCAATGGTCAGCCTGCAGGTAACAGAAATGCATTCTATCCACAGGGATTTAAGAAAAGCTTTATATATGGTTGGGTAGCTGAAGTGAATCATTGCAGACAGGTGCATCAGCCAGCCACTGAAAAATTAAAGTTTACTGAAGAAGTAGCACAGAAATATAACCTCAGTTATGACCCGTGGCATTTAAATTGTATTGGCACTCCTTCTAGAGCTGATCTTTCTTGACAAAATTAATTAATTTTTATGGACCATAACATTTTATCTCTGCACTAGCGCATTTGGGTTTCCAAAATTAGGTGGCAAAAATAGAAGAACTGGAAATGATACTGGAAGACCAGAACAGCTACACTGTTCATAAATTAATCAAAAGGCAAGTCAGGGAAAAAATTAGGTCCAGTTGATTTTTTTTATTTTTTAGACCACTGCCAGAAGGGTTAAGGTTGCTTTAGGGGTTCAGGTATGTGGGAGGATTACCGTATAGTAAGCCACAATTCAGAGATAAAAATAAGCATTTATGAGACAATTCTTGAAGTGATGGCACTGCTAATTTATAGTTATGTGTTTCTTTAATCTTGCAGTAATAGATTTGTGCTGAGGTGGTAATTCATGATGAAATTGCAGGTTGATAACTTGCATTTGGTCATATATTTGCTCCAGGCCACTTCAGTGACCTCTCCACTGTCTTTCCCCAGCTCTTGGCATCCTGTCTCAAGGCTACCTTTGGATCCAGTTCTTCTGACCCACACTTCACACACCACTGCTGGTGCCCTCTGCCCAACCTTCACTCAGGTTATTCTTCTCAAAGTTCCTCAATTTGACCAAGACCTGCCAAATATCTGTTGGTAAAAATAAGAAGCTTACAACAGGTCTGAAGAGGTCCTGCTTGTCTTGAGCAGCTATGCCAATAACCACTGACACCATGAGCAACTACAAGTTGGGTCTGACATAGGTGTAAGATTTTAAAAAGCACGACGGCCATTCAAAATAAAATAACACACTGCTTTTGGAGTACTTTGGGGTTCTGAACTTGGGGGCTCTTAGTTCATGGTGGCTGAGGAAACTTCTATTTTAAGAAGAATTACATTTTCATACTAATAAGGTTTCCAAGCTAAATCTTTAGAACTTTAGGGCTGCTGGCAGTAACTCAAGAGCACTCTCCAACACTGGGAGAGACAACTGAGGCAGGGTAAAGTATCTCACAGCTCCTTCCAGCAGGCAAATGGTGACTCAGAGGGCTACAGCCCTTTAGACCCTCCAGCCAAAGGAGCCTCCTGGGCAGTCAGTCCCATTTGCCCTTTTGCCTGGTGCCAGTGTTGTGCTTCCCTTTCCTGCTCCCTCCCTGATGTCTTTCCCCTCAGTGAGTGTAACCTACAAACCCCCCTCTCACACTTCATTTTCCAAGGTTTTCCTTGGATGCTTACGTTAGACGCAGACAAATTTCCTCCATAACAGATTTTCCTGGGTAAAGGAAATGCGACAGGTATCCAGGGCCATACTTCTGCTACATTAAATGCTGTTTTCATTTGCTGTTGTGACCTTAGACTCTTCTCCCTGGTCTACACTGGGGTCAGAGCAACCAGCCTGCAGCCTTTCAGCACACCTGGCCATAGCTGCTCTATTTGCTGCTCCCAAGTGAGAGGTTTCCACCCCCATTTTATAGAGCTATTTATGATTTGTGTTGGCAGAATTGTAATTTCATGCAGTATTTCATGCACACTTCCTGTACACTTTCCTAAAAGATGCTTTTACCAATTTAGCTTTCAGCTGAATGGCTTTACTTTACATTTTTGTCCATTTTCACTAGCCAAGTTGCATGTGCAGTGTTGTCATTCTAAAGGAAAACAAAAATAAATACTTTGACTCGGGGCTCCATATGGATTATCTTAGCTTTCTTTCCAGTTCTCATGCTGAGAGTGTTCAATACATTTTCCTGTTATCGTTAGTTCTTCTAAAATACCTTCTGCCTGACCGTAAAACTCACCAAAAAAAGATTGCTGGAGAGCTTTAAAAGCAATCTATTTCTCCTCTCTAAGCCCTGCTTGCAGGGAGCCATGGCTTGTTGAGCTGTCTGGGTCCCATTGTTGAGCACACAGCTGCTCCCAGGCTTAACAGTGCCCTCCCTGTGCTGCTGCTGCTTAGCATTTCCCCCCAGTGGCAGCCCCTGATGAAGAAGAGGCCATAATCTTCCTTTTATAGACAATCCACATGTGTAATAGATACTTCAGGACAGTTTCTTCCTGCCTCCAGTTTTGTAAGCTGGGAGATTGGGATGTGGAAGGACATCCCAGTGCAAAAGCACAACCCCCTCAGATTTGCACAGAGAAACTGCAGTGACATTTACAGGTTCTCTGTGTTCCCCCCGACCCAGGTAGGAATTAACAGCAAAGCTCATACCTTCCCTCATCCACCTGAACAGAAACATCTTCAAGAAAATCTCTACAATTGAGCTAAGCTTAAAAAGACCCAAAACCTCCTCAAGGCCTCTCAGACACTCCTGCCTCCATAAGTACTTAAAGTGGGTCTGCAGGGAGAAAGCTTCGGAATTGGTAATGATGGATGGAGCTGCCACAGTTAAGCTTGTTTTAAACCCAC